TGCTCCTGCGGCTTCTCCTTCCTTGATTTGTGCACAGAGTTGTTGTCGCAGTATGCGAGGATCCTTTAAGCTATGTTGCTGGCCAGTTATTTATTTATTTATTTTTCTGTGTTGCTGAGAGTTCAGATTACTCCTCACACTGGGTGAGTCTTGATTTCTCACCCCTGAGGCTGCCACAAGGGGGCAGGGCACGCCTCCTCATGAGTGAGAACCAGAGACTGCCCCCAGAGGGGAATGTAATCCTGGACGAGCCCCCAAATTGTTATAAATAAAGTTTCAGTACTACAAAAGAAATAGCACTTGAATATGACATTTTCTTTTCAATTCTCACCAAGGCAAGTTACTTCTATAGAAGGGTGTGCCCTTACAGATGGAGCAATGGTGCGTGCACACTTGGACAAGGGAGGTGAAGGGGTTCTTATCCCTGACGCATGTGGCCCCTGCTGCTGTGTCATTCCCCTATTTGCTAGGGTTAGACCACACAGGCTAAACTAATTTCAACTGGCTAATTTAAAGAGAGTGAAGGGGTGAGTGGTTTGGCGGGAAAAATGGTTATGACAGAGCAGGTAATTAGAATGAGTCTGGGTGGAGAAGGTAATCAGAATGAATCAGGGTGGAGCAGGTAGCCAAAAAAGTTTGCTTTATGAGGAAGTTAAGTTTAAAAGTAGAAGGCAAAGAATTGAACATACTGACATATTGATTCTTTGAAAAGAAATTTAGAACTCACATCTAACACTGCACTGAAGGGCAATCCCTCACTCTATACCTCAGCTCATCCCATTATGTTATGCAAATGTTGGGAGCCTTAGGGATTTTTCACCTCCTTTCTGTACACCTTAAGAAACCCTTACATGGATGGGCCTGGTGGCACATGCCTGTAGTCCCAGCTGCTTGGGAGGCTGAGGCAGGAGGATCATTTGAGCCCATAAATTTGAGGCTAGCCTGGGCAACATAGTGAGACCCCTGTCCCTGAAAAATAAATAAAACAAAACCAGTCCCTGATTTGGACCAGGATCTGAGGTTGAAAACAGAGGGTGCTTTGGATAGTGATTTGAAATTCCTAAAAGAGTGGCTCTCAGCCTTGCCTGTGCATTGGAATCACCTGAGGAGTTTCAAAAACATTCTCATATTTGGGTCTCATGACTAGTGTTTCTATTTAGTTGATCTGAGGTGTGCTCTGGGCACTGTGAGTTATAGAGCTGTGAAAAGATCCAATGCACGGACGAACTTGAGAACCACTGTTTCTAGAGCAGGGTTTCTGAACCTCAGCACTATGGGCATTCAGCACCATGTAGTTCCTTGTTGTGGGAGATTGTCCTGTGCATTGTAGAATGTTTATCAGCATCTCTAGACTTTACTGACTAGATGCCAGGAGCACCCTCCCCAGTTGTGACAACAAAAAATGTCTCTAGACTTTGCCAGATGTCTTGGGGTAAGAGGGACAAAATTGCCTCTGTTGAGCACTGTTGGTCCTGAGCCATTGCTAGTAGTCTGGGCTGTGAAAGACATCTTTCAGAAAGAAAGAGAGAAGGTGACTGTTATTGCACCCTTCTCTAAGAAAAAAAAATATGTATAAAGATGCCAAGGGGATCTGGCAGAAAATTCTCCTGTCATTGGAAGAAACCTAGTCAGGGTGCTTTCTGTTCTTTAAGGTTTTCTTTTTCTAAGCAAAGAGATGGCATTTTTCTTGGGGAGCATGGTAGAGGAAGGCATCTTAGAAAACAGGGAATTAAGAAAATGATACAGGAAACTTTCTAGCTGATCTGAGGCACAACAAAAGGAAATGAAATATTTTTATAATTAGTATGAACAGTCTGGCTTGGATGAAATCTTGCCTCCAGCTAAGGAGTTGCAGCCAGCAGTGGGGTGACAAAGTAAAAGGGCTTGGGTGCTAAGTGGATGTCAACCAGAAATGTTGCATTAGCCCTAGGAAGGCTTTGCCACCAAATTGAGAGTAGAGTGAGCTGAAATGGGTGAGAGTTGATACATGTGTATAAGAATAGCGTTAGAAAGAAGTAATAAGGGGAAGGCTGGGGTTTGTGAATGAAATATTTTCGTGGTTGTCTTAGTTATTGGTTGAGAGAAGAGTCCAGGAAGCACCCTAGGAGAGTGGGGAAGTGAGAGGGAAGGGAAGGATGTGAATAATGGGTGCATTATCAAGAAGTTGCCATGTGGGCACTTGGAGTAGAATCCCTCTGGGAGCTGCAGAAAGTCAGGGCAGAACACAAACCTCAGAGATACGAGGTGACAGAGCTGCTATATTAATCCATTAATTCCTATTTGTCATGGGTTAAAGGCTACATCCAAGGCCATTAATTCCTCAGCACTTTGGTTGAGTTCTGGCTTTGGCTTCAGGCAGAGTTGCCAGTGCTGGCAATTTCCAACTGGCACTGAATGGTGATTGCTGATGGGATGTAGGTAAGCCACTGGCAGCCTCTGCTACAGTGGTCAATGTTAAAACTTATTTTAAAGTACTGACTTCTTTGCTAGTTAATGTTTAATTTTTAATAGACTTTTTTATATGAAAGAATATCGGGACCAAGCATGGTGGCTCATACCTATAATCCCAGCACTTCGGGAAGCCGAAGTGGGAGGATAGGTTGAGCCTAGGAGTTCAAGACCAGCCAGGGAAACATGGCAAGATCTTATCTCTACAAAAAATAAAAAATCAGCTTGGTGTAGTGGTGTGCGCCTATAGTCTCAGTTACTCGGGAGGCTGAAGGTGGGAGGATCACTTGAGCCCAGGAGGTTGAGGCTGCAGTAAGCTGCGATTGTGCCACTGCACTCCAGCCTGGGTGACACAGTGAGACCCTGCCTCAAAAAAAAAAAAAAAAAAAAAGAAAAGAAAAAAAAAAGGTATCCACGTCTGTCAGCCTTAAAGATACCTTCACCTTAGTTTTTGAGACCATGAAATACCATTGCCAGAAACCTAGCAGTCCTCCCAGCCCTGTCCTTAACTCTTCTTTGACTCACCCACTACATGTAATCCATCAAGTCATTTCAGGTCTACTCTCAAACATTCTGCAATTTATCCACTTCTGTCTCTGTTGCTACCTCATTAGTTCAGGACAAGGTTTATTTTTGCTTGGACTATTGCAATAGCTTCCTCTTGGGCATACCACATTCACTCCTCTTTCAGGCACTTGAACCCATGAGGCTTTTTCTTAAAATGCTTCTCCCCCTCCCCCCTCTCCCCATCCCCGCTCTTCCAATGACTTGCTCCTTCCTATTATGTCTGGTTAAAGTCACATCTTCACTGAAGACCTTCCTTCCTCTGAAGAAAGATCTCTCCCAGGTCATACCATTTGTTATTCCATATCAATCCCGGTTTGATTTCTTCTCAGCACGTTCCACAGTTTGTAATAATTTTGTTTACTGTGTTGTCTCCTCTTTATTTTATTATTATGTTTTTTTGAGACAGAGTCTTGCTCTGTCACCCAGGCTGGAGTCCAATGGTGTGATCTTGGCTCACTGCAACTTCTGCCACTAGGGTTCAAGCATTTCTCATGCCTCAGCCCCCAAGTAGCTGGGATTACAGACATGTGCCACCATGCCCAGCTAATTTTTGTATTTTTAGTAGAAATGGCGAACATGTTGGGCAGGTTGGTCTTGAATTCTTGGCCTCAGGCAGTTTGCCCGCCTTGGCCTCTCAAAGTCCTGGGTTATAGGTGTGAGCCACTGCATTCGAACTCCTTCTATTTATTTATTTATTTGTTTATTTTATTTGCTTTCTCTCCAGGGGGAAGTCATGTCATCTCCCTCTCCATAATGTAACCTTAGTAAGGGCAGGACCATGCCTATCTCCTTGACCACTTATCCCTAGTAGGATTGCCAAATTTAGCAAATAAAAATACAGGATACCCACTTAAATTAGAATTTCAGGTAATCCATCAATAATTTTTTAGCATAAGAATGTCCAAGTATTGTGCAGGACATACTTACACTAAAAACTATTTGTGGTTTGTCTGAAATTTAAATTTAACTGGGCCTCTTATATTTCATCTGGCAATCCTAATCCTTAGGCCCTGACACATAACTGACTCTCACTACATCTTACTGAATGAAAATTTGGTAGCAGCATATCAAAATTGCTACAATGGCAACAAAGCTGGGGAAATGTGCTAAAAGTACAGAACTGAAGTAGTGAAAAACATCATTTTCCATCATATTTCTGTTCATATTTGCCTGTCTTTTCACACCAGGAGACTCTAATCAACTCTCATCCAAAGTCTTGGGCAGCACAGTACTCTGGGAGGGATGCTGACCATAGGAAGGGAACTGGTAGGTACAGCTTTTCACACAGTGGAAATTTTTGTCATGGCCTTGTACTCAGACCTTGATTTTCTTTGGCCCTTATCTCTCCAGACTGTGAGCTCCTTAAGGGGAGAGCCTGCTTCTTTTTATTCAACCCTCCATCCCCAGCATCTTCATCTGTAGCTGGTAGTAAGGACTCAACGTGTGGTTACTGAATAGACTGATAAATGAGTAAAGAGTAGGATAACTAACTCTCCTGGTTTGACCAGGACTGAGGGGTTTCCTGGGATGTGGGTCTTTCAGCGAAAAAATTGATGTAGTCCTGTACAAACTGGGACAGTTGATCACCCTAAGAAAATGAGTGGTTCTCACTTCTTAGTGGCTGGTGTTCTTCTCCAGTATCATCATATTGGCTGCTACGTGACTACCAAGATTAGACAACCTATTGGCCTGGTTCCTTATTCATTGAAAGCTGGATGTTTGGAGCGCTCATGATCCCCTAAATTTCTCCATGTCTGGATTGGCTCCTAAGAGCTTTGCCATACCTCCAGTCTCATCTCATGGTCTTAATGCTTGGTTTTATGGCCTGGTCTTGTGATATCTAGCACATGCCTGGACTTGTGCTCCTAGAATGAAGGCCTTCAGGTCAACCACACAGGAAAGGACCCTGGGCCTTGGTTCAATCTTAGCAAGACTTACCTGACCTGCTAGGTTTGTTTCATCAAGACCTGATTATGACCAATCACTACTTCCACAGAACACCAGCAAGTTTATTGAGTAATTAAGGTGACAGCCATAGAACTTTGCAAATGCGTTTCCGCAAAAGTTCTGAGTTACTTGACTATGAAAAGTGAGTTTTCATTTTAACCAACCCCTGCTCCCAATACTACCAGAAAGCATAAGATTCTGAAGAACCCTTCACAAATCTACTCTTAATTATGGTAGCAATGTTCCAGTCTCAATTAGGTTCTGCTGGGTTCCTGGAATTGGGAGTGAAGTGGCTCTTGAGTGGCTCCCAGCACTTGTAGTAGTTCTCATCCAAACACCTGGAGGCCTTGAGTCCCCACTTGGTGACCGCTAGACTTAGAGATGATTCAAACATAAATGCCTGGAGGAAGTGAGGATGGGGATGAGAAAAAAGAGGTGAGATAGATAATAAACACGTTTGATTAGATGTCAACAGAAGGTATGGGTAGGTAAAATCTTCCAATAACAAATCAAAGATTTGTGTGCTAGCATGGTGAGGAGAGCAGGCTCAAGCCCTGAGTTGTGGCTCTGGTCCTACCATTTGTAAGCTGATGAGACCTGGTACAAGACCCTTAACTTCTCAGGGCCTCAAGTTTCATTCTGTAAAATAAAATTCAGCCCTTAAGCTTCACATTGTCTTCATGGTATTAGGGAACTAAGTCTGCTAGATCCAAGGGCAGATGTGTGAGAATCCTGGGAATATCCACCTTCTCAGGGACTTCATTGACTGTGGCTATGTCCTTGTGAGAAAAGGCATACTTCCCACTTTACAGAGGAGGAATTAAGGCTGAGAGCTGGGAAACAACTTGCTTAAGGCGACAAGTCATGGCAGAGTTGGGATTTGAGCCTGTCTTTTCAGGACCCTGACCAAAAGATGGGCTGGGAAAAAGAAAAAAGAGGGAGTGCAGGGGGAGAGGGAGGTGAAGGAAAAGGCAGGAATGGCTGTAGCACTTTTAAAAGTCATATCTCAGAAGTGTCTGAAAGGTGGATGTTTCACTGTCAGGAGGTTTTTGTCCACAACAGAAAGAATATGCAAATACTCTGTGCATCTTAGACATTACAGCTTCATCAATTGCTGATTTTTCTTACCCAACATGACTTTAAAAACAAAACAAAACTCCAAAACCAAACCCTACAATTTTTATATGCTCACATTTGGAAATTTGTAAAATATAGATAGGCAAAAAGAAAATAATAGAATTATCTTGTGCCACAACCCAAAGCACCCACCTTAATGTTTGGGCTCTAATATACATTAACTTCTTTTTTTGCCTAAAACAATGAATATGAGTATCCCTGCCTGAATTTCTGTGACAGACTTGATGGAAAGACTGGATGAGATCATATGGAAGTGCTATGCAAGTTATACAGCACTATTCAAGATGCAGAAAAGGCTTTCAATAAAATTCAGTATATCTTCATGTTAAAAACTCTCAATAAACTAGGCATTGAAGGAACACATCTCAGAATAATAAGAGCCACCCATGACAAACCCACAGCCAACATCATACTGAATGGGGAAAAGCTGGAAGCATTCCCTTTGCAAACCAGCACAAGACAAGGATGCTCTCTCTCACCACTCCTATTCAACATAGTCTTAGAAGTCCTGGCAAAGAGCAATCAGGCAAGAGAAAGAAATAAAGTGCATCCAAATAAGAAGAGAAGAAGTCAACCTATCCCTGTTTGCAGATGACCTGATTCTATATCTAGAAAACACCATAGTCTTGGCCCAAAAGCTACTTCAACAGATAAACAACTTTCAGCAAAGTTTCATGATACAAAATCAATATACAAAAATCACTAGCATTCCTGTACACCAACAACAGTCAAGCTGAAAGCTAAATCAGGAATGCAATTCCATTCACAACTGCAACGAAAAGAATAAAATACCTAGGAATACCCCTAACCAGAGGGGTGAAAGCTCTCTACAATGAGAATTACAAAACACTGCTCAAAGAAATCAGAGATGACACAAACAAATGAAGAAACTTTCCATGCTCATGGATAAGAAAAATCAATATCATTAAGATGACCATACTATCCAAAGCAATGTAAAGATTCAATGCTGTTCATGTCAAAATACCAGAGACATTCTTCACAGAACTAGGAAAGACTATTTTAAAATTCATATAGAACGAAGAAAGAGCCCAAATACCCAAGGCAATCCTAAGCAAAAAGAACAAAGCAGGAGGCATCATGCTACCCAATGTCAAAGTACACTACAAGGCTACAGTAATCAAAACAGCATGGTAATGATACAGAAACAGGCACATAGACCAACGGAACAGAATAGAGAGCCCAGAAATAAGGCTGTGCACCTCTAACCATCTGATTTTCAACGAAGCTGACAAAAACAAGCAATGGGGAAAGGACTCCGTATTCAAGAAACAGTGCTGGGACAACTGGCTAGGCATATGCAGAAGATTTAAACTGAACCCCTTCCATACATCATATACAAAAATCAACTCATGATGGATTAAAGACTTAAATATAAAACCCCAAAACTATAAAAACTCTGGAAGACGACCTAGGCAATACCATTCAGGACATAGCCATGGGCAAAGATTTCATGACAAAAACATCAAAAGCAATTGGCAACAAAAGCAAAAATTGACAAATGGGATCTAATTAAACTTAAGAGCTTTTGCACAGCAAAAGAAACTACCAACAGAGTAAATAGACAACCTACAGAACGGGAGAAAATGTTTGCAAGTGACGCATCTGACAAATGTCTAATATCCAACATCTATAAGGAACTTGAACAAATTTACAAGAAAAAATAAACAACCCCATTAAAAAGTGGGCAAAGGACATGAACAGATGCTTTTCAAAGGAAGACATACATGCAGCCAACAAGCAAATGAAAAAAAGCTCAATATCACTTATCTTTAGAGAAATGCAAATCAAAACCACATGAAATACCATCTCACACCAGTCTGAATGGATATTAGTAAAAAGCCAAAAAATAACAGATGCTGCTAAGGTTGCAGAGAAAAGGGAACACTTATACACTGTTGGTGAGAGTGTAAATTAGTTCAACCACTGTGGAAGGCAGTGTGGTGATTCCTCAAAGAGCTAAAAAAGGAACTGCCATTCTACCCAGCAATCCCATTTCTGGGTATTTACCCAAAGGAATGTAAATCATTCTACCATAAAGACACATACATGCAAATATTCATTGCAGCACTATTCTCAATAGTAAAGACATAAAATCAACTTAATACCCATCAAGGACAGCCTGAATAAAGAAAATGTGGCGCACACACACACACACACACACACACACACACACATATATATAGACATACATAGAGACATTTGTCAGATGCATCATTTGCAACTATTTTCTCCCATTCTGCAGGTTGTCTATTTACTCTGTTGGTGGTTTCTTTTGCTGTGCAAAAGCTCTTAAGTTTATTTAGATCCCATTTGTCGATTTTTGCTTTTGTTGCCAATTGCTTTTGATGTTTTTGTCATGAAATCTTTGTCCATGCCTATGTCCTGAATGGTATTGCCTAGGTCGTCTTCCAGAGTGTTTATAGTTTTGGGTTTTACACACACATATTATATGTATATATACACACATACATACATATATTATATGTATGTATATATGTAATGGAATACTATGCAGCCATAAAAAAGAACAAGATCATGTGTTTCTCAGGAACACGATGGAGCTGGAGGCCATTATCCTTAGCAAACTTAGAGGAACAGAAAACTAAATATTGTATGTTCTCACTTCTACATGGGAGCTAAATGATGAGAACTCATAGACACAAAGAGGGGAACAACAGACACTGGTGCCTACTTGAGAATAGAGGGTGGGAGGAGGGAGAAAATCAGAAAAAATAACTATTAGGTACATTTAGTACCCGAGTGATGAAATAATCTATACAATAAACCCCTGTGACATCAGTTTACCTATATAACAAATCTGCACATATACCCCTGAACCTCAAATAAAAGTTAAAAATAATAAATAAATAAATATGTAAAATATAAAAATGAATAAGACCTAGCATTTGATAGCATAACAGGGTGACTACAGTCAATAAAAATTTAATTGCACATTTTAAAATAACTGAAAGAGTATAGTTGGATTGTTTGTAACACAAAGGATAAATGCTTGAGGTAATGGATACCCCATTTATCCAATGATGTGATTATTACATATCATATGCCTGTATCATAATATCTCATGTACTCCATAAATATACATACTTATTATGTATCCATAAAAATAGTAAGTAATAAAAATTTTGAAAAGCACTATTCAGACATAAGGATCATTATGGCTATTCCTATTGTCTCTTTGCTGGCTGCTTCTTAAAAGCCTCTCCATTTGGCTGGATTAACAAAAGCCCCATCCAGCTGACTTTGAAGACGGTGTTGTATCAAGTTAATCACTCCAAACAAGAATAAGGATAAGGTATATAGATAGACCTGGGTCTGAATTATACAATGGGAAATGGTGAGGACGACCAAAAGTTAGGTCTCGGTAAGATGTTGGACCCTCTGTCCTCAGGTATTCTGGCTCCTTGATACCCAGGGTCTCCCATCCTAGTAGGTGAGCTCTTTCTCACTAGTAATTCAAAGCATTGCTCCTCATAGAAACAGCCCTGTCCTATGCCTCACTGTTGTAAAACACAGCTCCCTCATAACATTGACCACCCAAAGCCAAATTGGGGCACCAAAGGTTATTGAGTGTCAACTCCGGAAGAGCCTCCAGGAATGCACCTCCAGGAGACTTCAGAGGTAACAGCTTAACTGAGACTGCCAAACTGCATCTCACTGAGATGTAGGGGTTCGACAGAAACTCCACAGAGGCCCTTGAAAGGGGAAATAGAGCCAAAGCAAGCAAATGGGACTCTGTACACCCTCCTTTTGCAGAGGAGCTCCACCAACTCTGGCTCCAGGGTTGGGACTGAAAGCAAACTGCACTAGACAGATGGACAGATAATACTCACTGCTTAGGGTAGTTTGCAAGCATGAAGCAGGCAAGTCTGTGCTATGGATTTTAAACCAGGTAGCATTCAAGGCATTTATTTTAAAAAGTAAAGCAAATTTGCATGTGATTTAGCATAAAATTACTCCCCGTGGACCATAAACTCTACCTCGAAGAATGCAAAATAAAATCAAGCACCGCAGCCAACTGCAATTGTGTTCAGCCTCAATGTTTACAGCCTGACACAGGAGGAATACAAAACAGGTTTTAAATCCCATCAGTTGCATCCATGCCAAAGCAGAGCAAAGAAAAATGAAAAAAACAGCTGAGAATTGCTTCTCACAAGCCCTGACTATAGTGAGGCAAGGGCTTTTTGACCCTCCTTGGCTTGAAACATGTGCTGAAGGTGACATCCTGCCTCCGCTACTATTGTGGCCCTGGAGGACTACTTCAAAAAGCAGAAGACTCTGAGACATAGCATATTCCTAGGGCTGCATATGGATACAGGAAGAGGCTTCACATAGTATTAATAATATTCCCTTACATTTGAATAGTGTTGGGCAGTCTGTTAGGTTCACTTATAGCCATCTGCTGGGTTGGATACTATATCCATTTTATAGATGGGGAAAATGAAACACAGAGAAGCTAAGTGAGTTGTTCAAGATCACACAGGAACTAAGAGATGGGACCTGAACTCAGAACCCAGGTCTGACTCCAAGTCCGAAGATCTTTCTACACCACCACAACAGAAGTCTAGCATATACACAAGGATGTGTGTATATATACATGGAAATGTACTTATGCAGTCATGTAACTCTCCCCCTTTTGACTCTTCCTCTGTGACTTCGGAGAAATGAAAAATGGCCACCTCTCTCAGCAAGGGTAGGGAGTTCAGAGGCCGCCGGAATCTGGCAGTTAACATACTTACCATAGTGCCATCGGCAATCCTCTCAGGTGCCAGCTTGGCCTTGCTGGCCTTCTCAAAGCAGTCAGCATCAGGTCCATGGGGGGTCATTGTGCTATGCAGACTGCCTCCACCTGGCAGGAACCCACCTTGCTTTGCCTCATAGTGACCTCGGATGAGTCCCATGAACTCACTCATGCAGTTCCCTGGGAAGGTTGAAGCAGGATTATTTTTATTATCCAAGGCAAGACCAGTAAAACACAAAGATCCCTTAAGCATTATTTCTGCAGAATTCCAAGAACATAGGAGAAACTAATAAATTGTATAGGATTAATAAAGAATGTGGATTGACAGAAGAACAATCACAAAACATTCATATTGGCATTCTTGGCAGGCATGGCTCTACTCCATGGCCATGTGGATTATCAGAGGTCTTGAGTTCCACTATGATAGGAATCAGGCTAGATCTAAAGAAAATCAGGGCCCAGAGAAGACAATAATAATTAAAACGGTAGTCATAATAAAGAGTGAATGTACTCTATCATGTAAGCTTACAAGCCCTCTATCAAAGTTATCTTATCTCCCAGATCATAACCCTTTCCCAAGCAGCTCCACTGTAGGACACAGCAACACCATATTTCTAATTCCCAATCTAGAAGGCTTAGATTGGGTGTGTGTGTGTTTTGATGGATGATGATGTAATGAAAAGAACTCCAGACTTAAAGTCCATTATCAGATGATAATCTGTGTGAAAGAATCTTGGTATGTGTATAAAACCGACCAGAAATGCTATTTATTATGACAAATATTATCTTCTATAGATGAATCTGTTATCCTCTTGTTTTTCTGTTCTTCAAAATGTCTTCTGGATTTGTTTTTATTTTTTCTATTTCCATTGATACCCTATTCACAGAGTCCTAAACCTTAAAATTGGATGGGATCCTTACTTCTACTCAATGTAGAAGAAATTTCTATATCTTTCCTGACTGATTACTTCCTGGGCTCTGCCTGGAAGTGAATGGAAGCTTTCTACTCTACAAAGCATATCATATTATTGAAGAGCTCTGTGTGTAAGAAAGCTCTTATATTAAATGGAAATTTGCTTTTATATGAGTTAAATTCATTGGTCCTAGTTTGCTTTCTAGAGTTACACAAAATTTAACAAAAATCACCATGCTTCCACTCTTCCAATCTTATGCTTCTATTGGAATAAAGCTCTTTATTAGAGTAGCAATACAATAGAGCAGGAATTAAAGAAATATAACACCTGAGCAAATTTAAGTGTCTTTGCATCTCAAACCACACATCTACTTACCCATTCATTCATCTGTCCTTTTCCCTCTTCACCCATCTGCCCACCCAGCTAGCCAGCATATATAATTAGATACTGTGCTGGGTACCGTGAGACAGAGATGAATAGGAAACAGCTTTTAAAGCTACTTAAAAAAGAAATAATTAACAACAACAACAACAACACAGCCTTTAAAGCTACTCATAGTCTGTCCTGTGAGAGTACTGAGAGTGCAAACTAAGGACGGAGTAGAGGGATGTGGCAGTGGCAACCCTTACAAAATTACACTGGACAGGATGCATGCCTGCCCTCTTGCTTACATGTGCAGTATAACCAAGTGCCAAATGCTTTTATAATTTACTAAGCAACCACACCCACCCTGCTCAGAAACAGGAAGCTGCCGCAGGCCCCTACAAAGTGAGTGAGAGTTTGTGAGCTCCTGCTGAAGAGGGAGACCCAGACCATAGCTCTACTTGTTTCTCTATGAAGTGGAAATACAGAAAAAGCAGCAAATGTAAGCATAAAGTGTCTAAGTTTAAAAACCAGTTCAGCTCATGACTTAAATTTGGTGTCACGCTCCTTGCTCTAGTATGTGTCCTCAGGGTCACCTTCATGGCTTAATTTTAAGAAGAGAGCAAAATGGAATTCAGCTTTGATCTGAATATGAATTTAGATAGCAATGAGTTTGGTGATGACATTTCTATATCATTTTCTATATTTCAAAGGACAGTGGGAGGATAGACCTTGCCTTTCTGATTAAAGCTGAATCTAGTTGACTAAGGCACATTAAGATGATTGGAGGCAATATTTCTATAGAAATAATTCTCCATTTTCTCTTATAATAAAGTCACATCAAAGTAGCAAAGATTTTGAGTATTGCCAAGGCAATATTTTTAATATCTCTGGAAAACTCTTTTCTAACCTGGGATTCTGTAGTTTTTTCCAACTAACTCAGAGTACCCATACCTTTATAAGATCTACCCTGGGGCCAAATTTACTTTGAGAGTCATTAAAAAACTACAGGAGGCATCTCTCAAGGTTATTTGTGTCAGGAAGTCTGAACTACAAATAAAAATTAAGGAGTGGGTTGAGACCCTATAGCACAGTAGCAAACTTGTCTAAATCAGATGACTCTATTATTCCTCCACCTAGGGCCAGGGACATGCTCTAGGCCAGTATTTCTCAACAAGCAGTCTGTAAACTTCCTTCATCAGAATCCCTTGACTTGCCAGTGAAAAAAATGCAGATTCTGGCCAGCCACGGTGGCTCACACCTGTAATCCCAGCACTTTGGGAAGTCAAGGCAGGTGGATTGCTTGAGTTTAGGAGTTGGAGACCAGCCTGGGCAACATGGCGAGATTCCGTCTGTGCTAAAAATGTAAAAAAATAAAAAAATAAAAAAAGAAGCCAGCTGTGATGGTGCACACCTGTGGTCCAAGCTACTCAGGAGACTGAGCAGGGAGGATCACTTGAGCCTGGCAAGTGGAGGTTGCAGTGAGCTGAGATTGTACAACTTGCACTCCAGCCTGGGTGACAGAGCGATACCCTGTCTCAAAAAAAAAAAAAAAAAAAAAAAAAAAAAAAAAAGGCAGATTCAGCATCACTTGGGAACTTGTTAAAAATGCAGATTCTTAGGTCCTATCCCAGACCTACTGAAGCAGAAATTCTGAGGATGGAGCCCAATAATCTGTGTTTTAATAAACCTTCCAGCTGACTCTGACACATGGTAAAATGTAATAACCACTACAGGCACACAGAGTAACCTCAATAAAAGAATAAGAGTGAAACAGTGAATTATTAAGGAGTAGCATGTGAAGTACAGACTATAAGCCAGGGCAATTTTCTCTCCTTGACAACAGGCCTGTAGGTCACTAACTTCCAGGAGGAGAAAAGTTAGAGTCCTTAGTAGGCTTGACATTTTTTAGAAGGGACTTATGATGCTATTCACAAAATAGTTGGTGTCTTTGCAGTGGTAACCGATTGTTTTCTTTTCTCTACCATGATGGTGTTATCTGAAAAGGGGATGCTGGCATTTGACCATGGAGTGGCCTTCGTCCGTCCTGAGGGCCTTCATTCCTGATGCTATAAAATAGCTAAATTGGCCATTCAGTGCACTGTTGTTTTCTGTTGAGCCCTGACACCTGGGAACTGGTATATATAAAGAGGGACCTAATATAAACAGAAGGCCCTGGAGTTTACCAAAGAAAGAAATTTGTTTTCTAGAATGTTCCAGGTGGAATGCCTCTTAGAGTCTTCCCAGAACTCTATGTACAAAAAAATGCACACTCCAGGAAGTAGAGTTGCACACTGACCTTTGATTGGATTTTCAGCTAGCTATTGCACAATTAAAAATGTCAACCTCATTAAGTACAGCCATGAAATACTTTATTCTTGTTGACACATTCACTTATTAAACAAATATTTATTAGAAGCATGCTATATATCAGGCACTATGCTAGCCATACCAGTTAGTGGTCATGAGGGTTTGCTCTGGAGTCGGACAGCCTGCAATTAAATCCTGACTCTACACTTAACTTGCTGTGAGTCCTTGAGAGAGTTACTTAATCCCTCTTGTGTCAGTTTAATTTTCTGAAAAAAGGGGCGGGAGGGACAATAATACTACTTGTCTCTTACAATTATTATAAACACTTCATGAGTTAGTTTTTTAAAAAACTTGTAACAGGGTCATAGAAATTGGCCAATAACTATTAGGTGCTAATAATAATAATATTAATAAAATAAAAATAGTAGATTTGTTAGGTCTTGTACTAGGCAACAAATATTCTGCAGAAACTCTTTCCAGAATAGAGTCCATTCCCTAATGTAGGCTGCAGTCTGCTTTGCCCTGCCAAAATAATTGGAGAATGCACATTTCTGTTTCTCTCTCTCTCTCTTTTTCTTTCTCTGGTTCTCTGAACTAGACTTAGGTGATGAACTTTCCCAAAACAACAGACTAACTAACAATTTCCCCAGCATTCCCCAAAACGAAACATCTAAAATGTGCGGAAACTTGTTTAGAAGCCTTTCTAACAAGGCTTCTAAACTTTACCAGCCTTTCTGCCTCTTACAGGGACAGAGAAACCGGGAACCAGGCTCAGAGTCAATGCATCACTATTGATATAATTTGGATGTACGTTCCCTCCAACTCTCATGTTGAAATGTGATCTCCAGTGTTGGAGCTGGGGCCTGGTGGGAGGTGTTTGGGTAATGGAGGCAGATACCTCATAAATGACTTGATGCCGTCATGACGGTTATGAGTAAGTTCTCACTCTGAGTTCACATGAGGTTTGGCTGCTCAAAAGAGGCTGGGACTTCCTCTTTTCTCTCTTGCTTGCTCTCCTCATGTGATACGCCAGCTCCCCCCTTGCCTGCCACTATGATTGTGTTTCCTGAGGCCTCATTAGAAGCAGATGCCAGCACCATGCAGCTTGTACAGCCTGCATAACCATGAGCCAAATGAACCTCTTTTCATTATAAATTAAGTAGCCTCAGGTATTCTTTATAGCAATGAAGAATGGACTAACACAATTACCATCCCTTAAAGAGATTAAAGCTTGGGGATCAGCACTAGGCCTTGTGAGGCAGGATCCTGAATTCAAGCCAGGGTAGGTGTCCAGAAACAACCCAGGCATTATTCCCAATGGGTAGTGCTCACTGCTTTGTTGTCTCTTTGGCTTGCAAATGTTGCTTGGTAAAAGAGAGACTTACTATGGTAATAAGGAGGCCTGAAGGTCTTATCAGCAACCCCCCATCGAGGTGGGAAGATGACAAAATCAGCAATGGCCACTCCAGGGCGGACAGACTTGGCAGTCAACACAGTGAAAATGGATGGGTCCTGTGAATACACAAGGAGAGACTGAACGCATGATGCAAGGAAGGTGACTGGACAATGACACATATTGCATGCATACATGAAGGTGTTTGCAAGTGACATGCTCATTTCTTTTTATTTATTTTTATTCAACTTTTAATTTCAACTTTTATTTTAGATACAGGAGTACATGTGCAGGTTTGTTACACAGGTATATTGTGTGATGCTGAGGTTTGGGGTAGGGATCTGATGTGGTTTGGCTGTGACCCCACTCAAATCTCATCCTGAATTGTAGTTTCCATAATCCCCACATGTTGTGAGAAGGACCCAATGGGAGGTAATTGAATTGTGGGGCTGGGTTTTCCTGTGCTGTTCTCATGATAGTGGATAAGTTTCACAAGATCCGATGGTTTTATAAAGGGCAGTTCCCCTACACATGCTCTCCTGATTGCTGCCACATAAGACATGGCTTTGCTCCTCCTTCGCCTTCTGCCATGATTGTGAGGCCTCCCCAGCCATGTGGAATTGTGGATACATTAAACCCTCCCTTTTTTTTAATAAAGTACCCAGTCTCAGGTATTTCTTCATAGCAGTATGAAAATGGACTAATACAGGATCCCGTCACTCAGGTAGTGGACATAATATCCAATAGGTAGTTTTTCCACCCTCCCCCTTCTAGTAGTCTCCAGTGTCTATTTTCCTCATGTTTATGTCCATGGGTGCTCAATGTTTAGCTCTGACTTATAAGTGAGAACATGCAGTATTTGGTCTTCTATTCCTGCATTAATTTGCTTAGGATTATGGCTTCCAGCTGCACCCATGTTGCTGCAAAGGGACCGCCTAATTTCTGATCAAACAATAGGAGTCTGGGCTTGTCATCAAGGTGCAGTAATCACTCATATGACTTTTTCCTCTTGCTGTGCTTGAGGCAAAATGAATTAACACCAGCTGAAAGGATTCTGAACCACTTTTTCACCTGCTGAGCCCACATTACATGCAACCTATTACCCCGTGGGTCTCAGAACCAATAGTGCCTGCTTCTCAATCTCAGGTCAAGTTGATTGGAGCTGAGATGTGCAGCAGAAGGGATGCTCAGAGCGAAGTGGAAATAGAAATAAAGCAAAATCCAAGTTTTGGTGTAGGTGTGCTCCTCTTTGGGAGAACACAGAGATTCCAGATTGTATCCATTGGCAGAAAAGTCTGAGAAGGGGTTCATTGCTTTCCTACCTTTGTTTGACTTTCAGGTCTAAAACACATCATTTACATCACTAGTCTTCATAGTGGTAGCGTAAGATGGAATAGGTTGAGGGATGAGATTATACTTTTGAAAAATCTTCAGAATTCTTTAGTGAAAAGATTGAGATTCAATTTAATTGAAATCAACAATCATGTTCCCTTTCAGATGCCATGCAAGAGTCTGGAGATTCAAAGATCATGGGGATCGATTCCCTGCTTCTTTAGCATTAACTGGGGGGTGGCGGTTGGGCAGCTAATTTTACCTGAAAGGGTCAAAGAGGGCTTCAAAGACGAGGTGACATTTGAGGCAAGTATTCAAGAATGAACAGAAAGAAAGGAAAAGAGAGAGAGAGAAAGAGAGAGAGAGAGAAAGAGAGAGAGAGAGAAGGGAAGGAAGGAGGGAAAGAAGGAAGGAGCACATGTAACCTTGAACCTAAAATAAAAGTTTAAAAGAGAGAGAGAGAGCGGAGAAACCTACACATGTACCATTGAATCTAAAATAAAAGTTAAAAAAAAAAAAAAGAAAGGAAGGAAGGAAGGTGGGGGGGATGGGGGAAAAAAGGGAGGGAGGGAGGAAGGACTAAAGAAGTGGGAAGGGAAATGACATTTTAATCACAGAAAACACATGAAAGTGCACAGAGATTTTGTTAAGAGGAGATAAGGCTAAAACCCCAGTGCATTGACAGAAAGGAGAGGGGCAAGAGGTGATACTGGAAAATGAGTCCAGGGACAGATGGTGAAGAGCATCAAACACCACGCTTCAGAGCTCAGACTTAATCCTAAGCCATGGGAAACTTGCAAAGGCTTTCTAATGAGTACAGTGGTAGCATGATCAGAACTGAATTTTGGAAAAATAATTATAGCAGCAATACAGAGAAGATTGCACCTGTGTAAATTCAAATAAAAATAAACCCAACCCTTATTGCTGTGAGAGCTGACATTTCTGCATCTGTCGTGGGAAATGGTCTAAACTATTCAAGCAAAGGTAGTGAAGCAGCAAAGGTGGTGAAGTAGCAAAGGTAGTGAAGCAGCAAAGGTGGTGAAGCAGCAAAGGTAGTGAAGCAGCAAATCAAGCTTTATCAGTGTCTCGGGATCCTTTCTCGTGCTGTTTGTTTGGGGTCTGATATCTCACTTTTCTTTTCCCCTTTGCTTTTATTAAGAGTTGCTGCTGTTCGGTGAGGTGGTTTTGTCCCCCCAGAGATAAACTGAACTAGCTCAGGATGATCCTTTTGCCTCTGAGTCTCTGACTTCTGCTCTAATCATCCTTCCAGCCTGTGGGTTAAGTTCATCTCTTATGAAGTGGGCTGCAGAATGAACTGCCCCCCACCCCCGGAGCTCAGAACCATCACTTTATTAAGAATGTAGGGTCTTGGGAGCCTGCACTGTAGACCAGACACTTATTTGTGGCCCCCTAACTGAGTGAAAAATACAACCAAGTTCATGCTCTAGAATTTCTTTGGTTTAAACTCAAGCACTGAACGTTATGAGTAACTTTAGAAGTGGGCTGTTCGTTCTGTCACTGCCAAATACAGCCAGGAGTGAAGGCACTGGGGTGAGAAGTCAGAGATCATAGAGAAGACTCTTGAGAGTTGTGAGGTCAGAGACTTCTTCAAATTCACGAAGTTCCTTTCTCCTCATTCTACCACCGACATTACCACTTGGTTGTTTTGGGGGATAAATTTTCCACAAAGAAATTGTTTATCCACTTAGTTTGGCAAACACAAGTCAGACTATCACGAATGCTCTGTAGAGAATGAAGCTGTGTTCACAGGGGAATGTTGAGTATCTGGCTTGGCTGCCCTACTAGCTATGTTATTTACTCCTTCACCATAAGACAAATGACTATATGTAGGGCTTCCAACGATGACACTGGAAATGTTAGATCTGGAAATGTCAGGAGTCTACTGTGGACCCCTCCCACCAAAGGGTTGCCTCACCCCAATGCCCCTACAGGGTTCAGACTTACTGCATGGTCAAAGGCCACTGAGTTGATAACCATGAAATTCTTCAGGTTGTACTTGTAGGGTGTGTAATTCCCGTGCCAGGCCACAACATTGAATGGGGAGACATCCTAATCACAAAAAGCAGGAAAGGATGATTTTACCATCAAATGCTTTTGTAACTGTGATCCCACAATATGTACTGGGCATACCTCTCTCTTCTTTTGATTTGATTTTGTTCTTGATTTAATTTTACTATCCTTTGGGAGAAGTACAACCCTGAATCATTTTGTGGTTGCTCCACACACCCTCTACTTAGCCACTAACCCTATTTTTCTGGTTCATAAGCTGCAGCTGCCTTCTGATCACAAATGCAGCAGAAGCACAGCACATTCTCCAAGTAGTGCCTTTTCAAGAATTTTTAACCTAACTGTGAGGATCTGTGGATGTCAGCAATTCTAAAACAATCTGGGCTACCTTCTGTTTCCTGGAGCAGAGAGTACCTGCTGTGATACTTCTCCAGGTAATTTCAGCCTAGAGGAACTTGCAATAGACACAGTGCCTGGGTCGGTGAGTCCAGGAGAGGGGAGAAGGCCTCTAAAAGTTCCCACTCCAAGGACTTGAGATTTCAGAGCAATCCTAACATAATACTTCTTGGTCTTGTCCTGGGGTAGAAGAGGATCAGTGTTCTGCTATAGGAAGGTGGTCCCTTCTGTATCTATGGGTCTGAAAGCTCTAAAGATTTTAATGAAGGCACTACTCATAGAGGCATAGTTAGGGTTAACTGGAATGACTAGAAGTGTTGAGGTATCTGAGCCTAGCAATAGTGGGAAGACACTGCCATTCCTGGGCATGTGGAATAAGGAGGGAAATATTGTTATAGTAGTTCAGCAAATGTTAGGACTATAAAGAAGGGTGCTACCCAGTGGTGTGCTGGTAAATATTTAACAACTAGCACTCTGAAAATATATATAAAGCATTGACATATAGTGTTTACTGATTTCTAAGGTGGATATAGTCTCACCATGATGATTTTCTAGCTACTAATATGACATCACTGAATACAGAGTTGGACAGAAGTATGTATATCAGCTTTTGCAAGTCACTATGAATCAGCTCAAGCATACCACTAGGGCTGTCCAACAGGAACTGAGGTCATATGGGGGATGCAGCTACTGCCAGAAACACAGTCCTAAACAGGGAGGAAGCAGGGGAAGAAATCTCCCAATTTGTCTTTCCTCCTGCCTTGCAGTTTCTTGTGGGTTGAACCCAATAGAAGCCAGCTGGCTAGAGAGCCCGGGTGATAGAGTTAACCTTCCAGGACACAAATCATGGCAAAGAGGGAGAATGGATCAGTGGGGACTCACACAGAGAATAACCAGCACAGGGTCTACCTGGAAAGTGCAAATCTTTCTGGAGGAGATACTGGCTGGTTCTAGAATTGTGGTTCTTTAACAATTGTATGTAAACAATGATCTGAGGAACATGCTTAAAATGAATGTAGGTTTCCATGTCCCATCTCCAGAACTTATCATTTTTTTGCAAGGCTAGAGTAATATCTGAGGATCTGCATTTTTTTTTTTTTTTTGAGAGGGAGTCTTGCTCTGTTGCCCAGGCTGGAGTGCAATGGCATGATCCTGGCTCACTGCAACCTCTGCCTCCTGGGTTCAAGTGATTCTCCTGCCTCGGCCTCCCAAGTAGCTGGGATTACTGGTGTGCACCACCACGTCTGGCTAATTTTTGTATTTTTAGTAGAGACGGGGTTTTGCCATGTTGGCCAGGCTGGTGTTGAACTCCCGACCTCAGATGATCCATCTGCTTCAGCCTCCCAAAGTGCTGGGATTACAGGGGTGAGTCACCACGCCCGGCCTAGGATCTGTATTTTAAACAAGCCTCCTTGAGGGTTTCTGATGCAAATAGCCCCGGAATTTTGAGAGACCCTGACCCAGAGAATATGAAAATAACAATGTGTCTGCTTCAAGGGTTAGTTTTAAGTGCCAAACTGGTTGGCCTCAGCTGGTTGGCATTATCTCTAGATGTTGCCTGAGAAGAATAACATACCTTGGAAAACATAAGGAATAAGTCAAATAGACAAAATGAAGCAAACAAATAATGCTAAACAGAAGAGATCTTTGGGTTCTTCTCATTATATGATTATTTTATTCTAATATATATTCAGTATATTTCATAATATGTTATAGAGTCCATATTACATTATTGTTATTATTATTTATTAATATCTGTGCCTTTGCTTGTGTCCTGAATTTGCCAGCCTGGTGGTACAAACCAAGCCAAGCTAATTAACTGAATTCTACTTGTTTTGTAGAATTGCTTGTATTTGAAATAGGGTGGTATTGGAGAGTATAAATCTTGGTTGATCTGTTAACTCATTTCCTTTTCAGAACATATTATGCTGCCCATATATTATGCTTTCCATACCATTTATAGAGACCCACATATTGCTAAGATTTTCATTGCTTGGTGAGTAGAAAGGGCACAGCCTTTGGAGTCAGAGAGATATGGGTTCAAATGCTGGTTCTGCCACCTACTGTGAAGTTGGTAAATTATTTATCATTAGTGGCCTTTTTCATGACTATGAAGGTATCATTGACTACTAGAACTATTTGCTTTATCTGTAGTGCCATAGTGGTATGATAACAATGAAAGGATGTATGTAAAGTTTCTAACACTCGCCTTGGCAATCAGTAAGTGCTCAATCACCCTTCATTTCCTCCCCTGCCTGCCAACCCTCTTACTTTACCTGTTTGGCAGCAAACAGCTTGCCCTGGTATTTATTAATGACAGTGTAACCACCTGGTACTTGGCGATCCTCATACCAGGCAACGGGTATCAAGAAATCACGAGGATTGGCCAAGCCATTGGCCCCTAGAACACAGTAACCCAAAAGTCTTTTAGAAACTACCAAAACATAGGAAAGATGCCCATGGTTGCATGAAGAGAAAGGCTTTCTTTCATGTCAAGAGCCACTCCACAAATCGCTTTCATTGCTTAAAGATTCACTGGATTTCCAGTCTGGTACCTTTTAGGAAGACCCAAGGAATCTGGTCAGAAAAAAATTCACAAAAACCAGCATTACTTTCTAAGGTTGTGGAGTGACTATGGTTAACAAAACCACCTTATATGCATTATCTTATCACTACAGGTGAGGGGAAGGGAAAAGAGAAAGAGACCTGAAAAGAGGAAAAGCGAATATCTGATAGAACTCCAGAACTTTTTCTTTTAAAGGACCGCCTGAATACTCTAGAACTCATGACAGTCCTTCATCTCAGATAGGAAGGGTTACGTGCTGTTGCCTGAGGCATGCCTCTGCTCCTTAGACAGAATTCAGATTCCAAGTCTGAAAACTGCTCTCCAGCCTGAAAAACCCCGTCTGCCACTCAGGAAGAAGTATTTAGGACCTGCCTGCTTACCTTTGGTTACGAGTGAGTGTTTCCTCCAGAGAAAGAAAATAAATCAAAAGAGCAAACATGAAAAACGTACATGCAAAAACAATGTAACTCTGAGAGCAGCGAGCTGAGGAGTGTTTTACCATTTCCAGCTCCTGGGGTTAAAAAAAAATAAGCCCCCAGCTGGTTAGCAAATTATAGATATTTTCCAGAGGGTACATGTTCCCTGGAACCTGGAGGCTATGCTGACTATAGAGCAGCAGGAAGCCAGAGCAGAGTGGGAAGAGTGGGCGGTGAACAGGATGACAGACGGCCCACCACGGCTCCAGCTGCCTCTTGCTGCCTCCCACCTTCCTCTGCATATTTGGATTCCTCAGGGGAGTTGACCAGAAGGCACACACTGGCCTGTCCCTGTTTGCTCTAAAAAGCTGTTGACAGGGAAGGGAAGAACTGGGAGATGTGACCAAAGAGGAAACCAAGGGCCAATTTTCCCAGTCACTCCTTTCACCCCAAGAGACAGTTTGAGAACACCCCCTCCTAACATTTTCACTTCCTCCAGCTTGCCAGAAGAATGGGGGCTGGGGGGACCTTGGTTCACTTTTGAATGTTTTGATCTGCCTCCTGGAGTGTGGTTTCTAGATCCTTCATAGCACTGAGTTATGTACTTTTTTGACTGCTAAGTGTGTGGATTTGGTGGGGTATACACAGGTTCATAGACTATGTGTCACCCAGTCCATCCCTCCTTTCCATAGGAATACAGCCCAGGGAGTTTTTATGGCCTTCCTACTTTATAGTCTTACAATATACAAAACAAAAAGCAACCCAAACCAATCCATTATAAATCTCACTGACTTAACAAAAAGATCTTCCTCTTAATCACAAAGCTCATTCTCACTTGTATGCTTTTGCAAAGCTGTTCCCTTTCCTCTTTACTCTCCTCAACTTTTCATAAAGAATTAGTCAACTTCTCATCTCTTCTGTGGAGCTGTTTCTGGCGACCCTAGCCCACAGTAACCCAAACTTCTATATTCATTCCTGTACACACTATGCAACCAGAAATCTATTACATGCTGCCTTTATGTCCAATGCCTATATACTATTCTAGAGAGATTTATAATGGATTGGTTTGGGTTGCTTTCTGTTCTGCATATATTTTCTGGCAGACCCTTGGTCTAGAGAAGAATTTGTTTAGAGAGAAAAGTGGAAGTTTGAGTGAGACAGCGAAGGGAGAAGGATGTTTAACTTTCACGCAATTATCTGTGTCCTACATCTCAAGAGAGGCGTAGAGGCTTGCAATGAAGATTTACCAATTGGTCCAAGGTCAGGTAACTCAAAGTGGACACCGTAGACTTCCAAGAGGTAGCCCCTGGTTTCCTCAAAGACATCTATGCTGAACCGCATTCCTCTCTGGAATGGAAAGTAGACACTGGTGTGCCTTCTGAAATCACAGCTGTAGTTATAAAGAAGCTGCCCAGAGCCATAGCCTGTCCCACATGCAAAAGTAAAGCTCTGGTTTGTTGAGCTGCTTGGGAGGTTACCAGAGCAAACATGAGTTAAAAAGAAAAACTTAAATCCTAATCACATATTGACCCAAGCCAATTCTAGTCTACCCTCTCATTGGGTCCAGAGATAACGGAAGCCTGATTTAGCCACATTTAAAAAAAAATGTCCACCTTCACTGCCTCTACTGCCATTAGTGGGAACAGGGCCTTATCCAGAGTGTATGTAAATATTTAGGAAAGTGCAGTGACAAGTGGTCTTTGTTTTAGAATTATGTGCTATATTAAAACAAAGCAGGCACCCAAGCTTACTCTTCAGCACATGGAACCTTCTGCATAACTCAAATTCCCTTCTCGTTGCCCAGACATGACAGATATTTTAGAGTTGGAAATAGCAGCAGCTGAAACATCTGACTGCTCCCAAATTAGTGAGAGGCAGGGAAGAGAAGGGGACACATCACCAACCTGAATGACGCAGATCTCATTGGGCTGTACAAGCATCTTGCCAAACTCGGTGTAAATGAGAAGATTCCCTTTCTGGGGAACTGAACAAAAAAAGACAGGGCAGTGGTGAGCAATTCTTTTGGTGTGATAACCATTTCATGAACAGGAAAGGCTTAAGGCTGCATTTGCTTTTTCATTCCAAATGAAAAGAGCTTTCTTGAGTCTCTTGGGGAAAAAGATAAATTCTGACAACTTAGATTAGCTATTTTCCTATCTAGAAGAATGTGAATAAAACAATGACTCTGCTTTTTTGGTCACCAGGCAAGAAACTTGTATATGCACAATTTTGTGACATGGCCAAAAAGGGGTAGCAGAAATAGGATGGAAAATTACCCATTTCTGATAGTTGCAGTGAAAGGCTGATGTTTGCTTGTGTAACATATATACCAAAATGTTGATTCCAAAATATTGATACTAAAAAACCCATCAAATATAATAGGCAGACCAGAACAATCTCTGATAGACTTTACATTTTAGATGGTCTCATGAAAATTTGAATTTAAATTGCAGTTACTAATGATAAATGGGCTTTTACTGCGTGAGTCTGAAGGCAAATACAGTTACCTTAATAAGTTAATCCTATTAGTATTAGTCTTCATTTCTTTTCAGCTGCCCAGGTCTCCCACATCAGAAAGGTCCAGAAGGGAAGAGCAAAGACAGAGAGACAAGGAAATAGAGTAGGAGCTTTGAGGTACACTAGAAATCTTTTCCAGACCACCTGTGGCCTCTAGACCTCAGTCTCTGGATTGCACTAAATGAAATAAGACAGATTGGAGAATGAAGGAAAATAATGTGCATAAAATTAGAAAGCAGCTTGTAGTTAGGGGTCAATTAACAGTGAGGAGGTCTGAAGTCTTCAGAACTCACCAATCAAGAAGTCCCCATCTGAATTGTAAAAGCATCTGAAATATATAGAGTAATTCTTGTGATTTTCATTTCTAACATTACCTAGACAAATTACTTCATAACACAAATCGTTGTTTAGTGCCTATGTACCAAGCTCAGAGCTGGGTATAAAATGCGGAGCAAAATGACCCAGGCTCTGCCCTTGTGGAACTTAGAGTCTAGTGGGGAGTCAGAGAGCAATCAAATAATTACAGAACAATATCACTGCAGACAGTAATGACCCTGTGAAAATCAAGTTCAAGGGAATGAAAGAATAGGGACTTGGTTAGTTTGAAGAATCAGCAAAGGCTTCTTCAAAGAAGGGACACATTTGACCTGAGATCTGAAGATGTTATCTAGGTGAGGGTTTGGAGAAAGGAAAGAATGTTCCAGGCAGAAGGAACAGCAAGTGCAAATGCTTAGGAGGAGGAGGGCACGTGGCAGGTTGAAAGAAGTGAATGAAGCCCATTATGGCTCAAGTGGAGAGAGTGGAGGTGGGCTGATATGAAATTTGAACCAAAGAGAGGCCTCCAGAGCCTTGTCATAGGGCTGTGATCTTGTCCCTGATTCATGGCTCACAAATCGCCACTGGGCTTTGGACACAAATGGTCCAGTTCCAGAGGTAGTGTATAATAAGGCAGGAATGCCATTTGCATATTTTGTTTTGCAAAGCCAGTATATAAGCTCCTCTACTTAGGGATTTTAAGCTTACACAGAACTATTAGCTGAAGCCAAAGTCGGGTAGCCTGCTACCAACAGGTGGTCCTAAAGGAAACTCACACAGTGTGACCTGGGGCTCAAGAACAGCCCTGGGGAATCTTAGAAATTAAGGATATTCAAAGGCACATGTTCTCAGGATCTCCTGAGGGCTGGGTCATGGGTCACTGGTCACTCATATTTGGCTCAGAATACATCAATTCAAATATTTTACATATTAATAGTTTGACTAATTTTGTCGACAATAATTTGGCACCTGGACAAATTGGGCCTCAGAGAAGACTCAGAACCCTGAAGGAGTTGCCTGAACTCAGAGCTAAGGTACCAGCAGGGACCCATTGAAAGCGCCTTCAACTTTGGGCTTCTCCTCTGATGGAACTAAGTCCTCCTGAGCCCTGTTTCGTTGACAGTTCTTGATTTTTTCCTCCTAGGAAGTTCTCATTTAGGTTCCTGATTCTAGTTCACAGGTGCATTCTAAAGGATTTTCTCCATTGCATTTTTCTTCTTCTTCTTCTTCTTCTTCTTTTTTTTTGAGATGGAGTCTCACACTGTCCGGCCTGGAGTGCAATGGTGTGATCTTGGCTCACTGCAACCTCCGCCTCCCAGGTTCAAGCAATTCTCCTTCCTCAGCCTCCTGAGTAGCTGGGATTACAGGCGCCCGCCACCACGCCTGGCTAATTTTTTGTATTTTTTAGTAGAGATGGGGTTTCACTACGTTGGCCAAGCTGGTCTCAAGCTCCTGACCTCGTGATCCGCCCACCTCGGCCTCTCAAAGTGCTGGGATTACAGGCGTGAGTCACTGTGCCCGGCCTCCATTGTCTTTTTCTAAACACAACAAGAATGACCCCCTTTTGGGTACCATGTTTGGTTTCCAGTTTGGAGGTGCATTCTAAATGGTCTTCTCCATTGTTTTTTCTCCCAAAATTTAGCACAACTGGCTTGCCTGCGCATTCGCGTGACTGTCATTTTTGTACATAAATGAGAGACTGAGCTCCTCAGCTCTGAAGAGAAAGGGCATTTTGTTCCTCCCAGCTGAAAGGCACCCTGGGTGACTAGGGGCTGAGTTGCAGTGTCTGGGGGATTCATCCGCTGTGATGTGCAGTGGCCCTACAGGGAACCCCCCCAAAATAGTTTAAAAAGATTTGTCCCAGAAACGCGTATAAGAGCTGACCACTTGGCATTCTGAGGCCTGTCAGAGGTGCTAGATCTCTGGAGAGAGAAACTGAGACAGCTAAGAGGGTGGAGACGACTCAGCAGCGAAACACTGTGGAGTCCTGCCTACAAACAGTACACCAATCCACCACCCAAAAACCCCTAGGCCACAGCTCAGTTCCAAAAAAAAAAAAAAAAAAAAAAACAGGGTACACGAATAATCTAAGAATGAGGAAAGACAAGGAGAAAGGTGCCTCTACTTGCAAGTGTTTACGTAAAATGGAAAAGTTCAAGGGCATGCCAGGGTTTCTAGTACTCCAGCTGGTTACCTATTATAGTCTGTTGTGCACATTTTAAACCGATGGGAAAATTGTATTGTTCAGAGCCCAAAGGTCAACCTGTAACTACAGAGTTTCTAAGTTCTCTATTTCTCTGTTTCCTTTTTTGCCTGCTTTAAATCTGCTATTACTTTTCTACTGAGATAAAAACCACAGGTTGGGCCAGGTGCGGTGGCTCACTCTTGTAATCCCAGCACTTTGGGGGCCGAGGCAGGTGGATCACGAGGTCAGAAGATAGAGACCATCCTGGCTAACACAGTGAAACCCTCTCTCTACTAAAAATACAAAAAAATTAGCTGGGCGTGGTGGCAGGCGCCTGAAGTCCCAGCTACTCGGGAGGCTAGGCAGGAGAATGGTGTGAACCTGGGAGGCGGAGCTTGCAGCGAGCAGAGATCGTGCCACTGCACTCCAGCCTGGGTGACAGAGAAAGACCCCGTCTCAAAACAAAACAAAATGAAACAAAACACCACAGTCTGGATCTGATGTACACCTTATATGTGTTGATTGATGTCTTATGCCTCCCTAAAATGTATAAAACCAAGCCATGGCCCAATCATCTTGGATACATGTTCTCAGGATCTCCTCACGGCTGTGTCCATTGGTCACTCATATTTGGCTCTGAAAAATCCTTGAAATATTAAACAACAACAACAAAAGGATATTTGGACTCAAAGTCAAAATGCCTTTCGATCTACTCCTGCATTCCAGGGCTCCATCCTCCCTTTTCTGTTTACATTGTTATGTGATGTTCTTGTTTATATCACGGATATCAGTCAAGATAAATGCCTTTTGTCTCATTGATCATCATTGTCAATAAATATATATCAATATTGCCTTGAGAAAAAAACCAATAACAAAAATAACTATGTATGTGCATATGTGACTTCAGAAGAGTGAAACCTGGAGTTTGCCTTCTGGCCAACAGCCCTTAGAAGATGGGCATGTCCTGCCCTAGAACTGAGCCACTTACCTGTTCTCCATGGAGGTATTGCAGAGGAAAATGTGGATAGCAAGCCCATTGTTAGACTTTATGTCTCCAGCTCCACACAAGGTGTGCAGGCCCTGGGAGAGAGCCACAGAAGAGGGAAAGGTTAATGTGAATGATGCCCAAGAGGCAGCCCTTCCGCTGGTCCCTGAGGGTCATGAGGTACATTTCTACTAGGGTCTTCCCTTTGGGACCGGTGGGACATTTGGAATCCAGGCAGCCTCTGAGGAGCCTGAATTACCGACTCATGTTTGGTAGTTTGTGGTTTACCCTAGTCTCCAGCCATGGCCTAAATCTGGATTGTCTCAGTGGCTATATCAGAAGAACTTACAGAGCATCAGTTCATTACTTGGTATTTTATCAATTTGATGCTTGACATCAACTGGAAGAAGAGATTCTGTTGGAGGTACCATCAGGCATCTAGGAGGCTTGGGGAGGAAGGTTGCAGCCTCAGGGACCAGTTAATGCCCCTCAAGTACACTCCACTATGGGCAGCCCTCTGCTTATGAATAGGGTCAGCCTAATCTCTCTGGAACAGGGCAGAGGACTGCATTCTGACAGACTGTGTAATTCTCTCTGCTGTGTGACCAGATGATCCACAGTGCAAGAAACCTTAACACGTGGGTCTTCTCAAAATAGCCCTCGGTTCCAAACCTGCAGATAGAAAGCCAAAAGAAGGGAGCTCGGCTCCTCCAGATAGCTACAATTCACACAAGAAAGGAGATGGGGGTATCATTTTATATTTTAACTCAATTTGTAAGTTTAGGGTGTATTTAAGTGAGTCTACACAGGGTTTGGAGCATTTAATAAAGATGAGAACTTCAAGATGTTTCCAACAATTTGTCCTGTGGCTGGGCACTTGGACTGTCCCTAAGTAAGCCATGAGCTGAGGCTGGTCTGCAGAACCCTCCACTGGTCTCTTTGAGTCCCACTTCCTTAGAGCTCCTTTCTCCTCTCCCCCAGATACTCCTTGCTCTGGGCAGTTATTCCAATACTCCCGGGACCTATAACTACCAAACAGAGCTTCCAATCAGCATTGTACTAACTAGAGTTGCCATGCTGAATTGACGCCATTCTAGCCCAAGCATCTACTTCAGGGAGATCATGAACTTGGATAGGAAATATTTTATTATATTTACTTCTGCTAATCTCTGAGTGAAATTTATCATTTCCTTCAACTAACATGAATGTAGGCAACAAATTACAGTGGTATTAGGGGTGCCTATAACTTTATCAGTGATAAAAATCATTATAGTCGTTATAGATTCCTCAAAATATATTTACGCTCATACCATAATTATTAGATGTTTTCCATAGATATTATGATTTAGCACATTAACAAGAAAGCATATGAAGGACTATAAACCAAATCAAATTTGTTTTTAATAGTATTTTTATCATTATATTTCAATATCATTAGCTTCTTTGTAATATTATATAATTTATTTTATATATTCATAAACAAAGACATCATCAGACTATCAAAGCGAGCAAAAAGATTAAAAGCCCCCATTCTAGCCAAAAGAAAGGAGCTTAAGTAGGAAAATGTTCAATTGCCATTGACCTTTCTGAGATATAAATAGTTCATGAATACCCTTTGGTGTCAGGGGCCATATGGTTTCTGTAAGTAAGACATTGCTCCGCCAGCCCCCAAAGCATACGCAGGTGGTTTTGTCTCTGCTGCCTCCTGATAGGGCTGCTTCTGCTTGGCATTCAGCCTGCAAATGGTTGGCTCACTCACCACAGAAGAGAGGAGAGCAGTAGGAAGGGTGTGGATGGGACTGACTTACACTCACAAAGTCTACTTTCTTCTGAGATGCTTTTGGAATCTCAAATGGTTTCCATCTAAGCTGGAAAAAAAAATACACGTACAGAAAAATTACTTCATAAGGGTAAACCATAGGCCTTCTAAATACATAGCATCAATTACATAGAAAAGAAAGGACAGCTACCCCCTCTGTGAGGCTCTACTTGTGATTTTGTTATTTTAAAATGATTATCCATCATTTCCTTAAAGGGATCTGTTAGTGTGTATGTTATTTGTGCATGTGCACATGTGCTTGTGTGTGTTTAAAACTATATGAATATAAACTGCTTTTGTTCCTTAGCACTTTAAATTATAAAAACAAAAGAAAACCATTGCTTCCTCTTTTAGAAGCTATTTGTTTCTTTTAACATTTTGCTCAGGCACATCAGTGAGTTTTGACTGATGCTGCTTTTCATGCTATTTATAATCAGGTCCCTTTCCTGTCATGCCAGCCTCTCTGTGTGGGCTCCTGACACTGCAGGGGAAGGTTCTACTTCTACTTCAAGCCCTTAGAGTTCTAAATTATTTTTTTAAGAGAAAGAAAGAGCACCCAGCTGAGATCTGATTTGGTAAATGCAGTACCAGGTTCAGTTGCTTCACCAAACCCCACGTTTGTCCCTAGGCTGCCTGACAGTTCAGTTTAAATCACAACAATCTTTAATTTAATAATGAAATGATCTAAGGAAGACGGGAGGAAAATCAGCAGGTTTAGGCCCTTCTTGAAGTGTCAGCCCAGCGCTTATTAATCAACTTGGCAGCAGGCCTGACTTAGCCAGGCTCACAGCTGATAAGCCCAGCTGCCACATTTCATGGAGTGACCTGCACCCTGAGGACTAGCTCCACTGGCTGCAGCACCTGGTCAAGGTGGGCATGGCAGGACCTCCATCAGGTCATAGGGCTCAGCTCATTCTGTATTTCAGGGAGGGAGCCAGATGGGAAAGGAAATAGCAAATGGAAAAGGCAGCCCTGGGATTACTCTGCCTCTCTGACATAAACAGGCAGTAGCCTTCATTTCTTAAAAGCAAAGCAGGATGGTTACATTCTAAGATACTGAAAAAGGATGTAAAATGTTGATTTGGGAAACAGTGCTGAAATCATGCTTCAGAAAGAAGGAAATGCTTTAGGACTAATTTCATTAAGGATGTTATCTCTTAGGGGTGTAATAGGGGGACCTGAGGGCAAGGATCTAGGAAATGGTTTCTCAACCTTTGCACTATTGACAGTTTGCACCAAATAATTCTTTGTTGTGGGGAGGTGTTCTGTGCATTGTGGGATGTTTAGCATCATCCATGGCCTGCCTCCACCAGGCTCCAGTGGCATTCCACCAGGTTGTAACAACCAAAAATGTCTCCAGACATTGCCAAACATCATTTGGGCGGAAATTTTCTCCCAGTTGAGAACCACTGACCTAGGAGGATATTTCCCTGACATCAGGAAGTGCCACAGCTAAGCGCTGCTGGATTTTTTAGGGGAAGTTCTGGTCTACCACTAACCATTACCTGCTGCTTCCTTCTATAGTAACAGAGCAGAGTATTTATACCCAGGAACATTGTTAGGAAGACTATAATACCTAGAATCCTAGTTTCAGAAAGAAAATCCAGAGAGAGTCATCTTTCTGGATTTCCCAGTAGAAGGGATTTAAGTATCAGATCAATGGTTGCCTGGGTAACCTTTTAGCTTTATCCAAAGATTCTCAATCCTGGCCACCCATGAGAATCACATGGAGAGCCTTTGAGACCAAGACCAAATTAAATCAGAATCTGTGAGGGTACGGCCCAGACATAGATATTTTATAAAAGTTCTTCTAATGTGCAGCTAGGATTTAAGAATCAGCACACCCAATCCAGAGGGTCTGTGATTCTTGTATTGATGAACCAAGCATCATGCTCAGAAAAGTCCACTCAGTCAACCAACCAACCAACCAACTGATCAATCAACTAAATTCTGGCATCTTGGGCCATATGTGGCAGTGACAATGCCAGTTACTAAATAGCAAGAATGATTAATTAGTACAAGTCTAAGGATTTACAAATCTAAGGAAAAAAGTGACCAAGAAAAAAGAAGAAAGAGCAAGGGGAAAGAAAGGGGAGAGGGAGAGAGAGAGAGAGAGAAAGAAAGAAAGAAAGAAAGAAAGAAAGAAAGAAAGAAAGAAAGAAAGAAAGAAAGAAAGAGAAAGAAAGAGAGAGAAATCCCAGTATCTGGGGATTTCCTGCCTGGTTTGTTGTACTGGGACAATACCTTTGTACATCTGCCTGATGTTAAAATACGTGTGGTAAGGCCAGGGGCGGTGGCTCACATCTGTAATCACAGCATTTTGGGAGGCCAAGGCGGGTGGATCACGAGGTCAGGAGTTTGAGACCAGCCTGGCCAAAATAGTGAAACCCCATCTCTACTGAAAATACAAAAATTAGCTGGGTGTGGTGGTGTGCACCTATAATCCCAGCTACTTGGGAGGCTGAGGCAGGAGAATCATCTGAACCCGGGAGGTGGAGGTTGCGGTGACCCAAGACCTCACCATTGCACTCCAGCTTGAGCAACAGAGTGAGACTCTGTATCAGAGAAAACAAACAAACAAACAAACAAACCTGTTGTGAGTAGAAACAAAGTCCTGGCCCTCAGAGAAGGGGTTTGTTTTCTTTGAGTGGAAAAGACTGAGTCAGAAAGAATGGTGGGTTGACCAGTTCAGCTGGTCATTTTTCAAGGTCTTCTGTAGCACATTAGCCCTCAAGTCATGAGAAGAGAGAGCCTGGAGTGGTGGATGAAAATGCAACTACATTTCATATTGAGGGGAGCATACCTTCAATACCCACAATCTGGAAGAAGCAACGACCTTGATGAACCTTTTCTAATGCAAAAAATGATCCCCACCAAATGACAGAGATGGTATATGGAGAGGAGTCATTTATCTGTTGGCCCTGATGGCAGAAGATTATGCAGAGTCTATATTCAGATCGTACTGGGCCTGTACCATGAAGGATAATAAAATCCCCAAAGTGGTTCTAATAAACTCAGTACTCACAAGAGAAAGCAGAGATTTCGGTTGGGAGCTCTGATGTGATATTTTGGTAAGTGTGAGGAGGGAGATTTGAGCAGAGGATTAATAGGAAGAGTCCATGGAGTGCATGGTAGAAACATCTATTAAAGCCAGCTGCAGCTTCATTGTAGGCTATGGAGTGGTAACTCTCTGATCCTAGGCCAGACCAAAAGGACAGTGCACTGAAGACTTGGTTTTTGCTACTGTCTCTGTTCCCATTTACTCTGTGATCTTCAGGAAAGCCATTTTCTCTCTCCAAATTTTGTTTTTTTCTTACATATAAAAACAGGGTGCTGGGTGAGAACTATAGTTCCATAATTCTCTCCAGAGAAGAACCTCTGAAAGAAGTAAAAGATGCTTGCTGACTGATTTAGTCCTTGTTATGGGCTAAATTGTGTCCTCTTCCAAATTTGTGTGTTGAAGCCCTAACCTCCAGTGTGACTATGTTTAGAGATGAGTTTTAAGGTTAAAAGATATCATTAATGTGCGGCCCTAATCTGATAGGATTGATGGCCTTATAAGAAGAAGAGATCTCTCTCTCTCTGCGTGCACTCAGAGGATAGGCTATGTGAGGCTACAGTAAAAGGACTGTCTTTAAACCAAAGAGGAGCCCTCACAAGACATCAGCCTGCTAAAACCTTGGACTTGGATTCTCAGTTTTCAGAACGGTAAGAAGATACATTTCTGTTGTTTAAACTACCCAGTCTGTGGTATTTTGTTATGGTAGCTTGATCAGACTAACATAGTCCTACAACTTTTCAAAATAGTTCATTTTATTTATACTATATACTCTTGTTAAATAGTTTCTTCTATATAGAATTTACTTATTAAACATTTCAAAAACAATAAAATTAATTGTAACACCCAAGCAATGGCTTGATTATAGCAGGCGTTAGTATTTGTTGAATGACTGAATAGATGAATAAATCTAAGGCACTAAGAACATTGCTAAGAACAAGACTAAGGCAAATTTTTGAGATCTTTTTTTTTCTGGGATGGAGTCTCGCTCTGTCACCCAGACTGGAGTGCAATGGCACAATATCGGCTCACTGCAACATTTATCTCCTGGGTTCAAGTGATTCTTCTGCCTCAGGCTCCTAAGTAGCTGGGACTATAGGTGTATGCCACCACGCCTGGCTAGTTTTTGTACTTTTAGTAGAGATGAGGTTTCACCATGTTGGCCAGGCTGGTCTTGAACTTCTGACCTCAGGTGATCCACCTGCTTCGCCCTTCCAAAGTGCTGGGATTACAGGCATGAGTCACTGTGCACGACCTGTGAGATCTTTTGGTAGTCAAAATAACATTCAGGCAATAGCTAGAAAATCAAATATTTCTAAAAGTCCAAAGGTGATTTCTAAAATGTCAGTTCTTCATATGTGTGTGAAATCATCACTTCCATATCTTTTCTTTTTTAAAAAAACTTTTTTTCCAATCCTGCTACTTCTGTAGATCACTTCTATATCTTTTCTGACTTTCTGTTCAATCGTTCTATCCACAGTTGAGAGAGGGGTGTTGAAGTCTCCAACTAAAACTGTGGGTATGTCTATTTATCCTTTTAGTTATATTATTGCTTCACATATTTTACAACTGTATTCTATGAGTTCTATTGGAAGATAAACTTTTACTTGCTAGAAATGAGGTGGTCAAAAATAATTTGAAAGCATCTTTAAGGGTGTCCGAAGTTAGAATTAAAAATTATTTAAGATTACCAAAGGAGGAAGACAGAATTGGTGTCAACATTTGATGATCAAGTTTCAAAATTCATACTCAGAAATGAAAAGGAAATATTAGTATTTCCAGTTAGAATACTGGGAGTTGAACTAGATGATCCAAGTATCCCTTTCAAAACTGAGATTCTTTAATTTACTGAGATTCCCTCCAAATTTCCCATGGACTCAACTAGATTGGATGACCTGAGTACTCTCAACAACACTGGCTGAGGATAGACAGACATATCATTAGAAGTCAGTACCACCTATCCAAGAATTTTGAAGTAACTTCTAGGTGAA